AAAAAACTCTACGACAAATTCGGCGTGCGATTTTGCAGTACTTCGCCGCGGGGGCGGTGGAAACATGAAGGCGGGGGGGGGGGCGCTTGCTATAGCAATTGCGTAGTGTAGCGTCTGGCACGCTAACAAATCCAGGGTTTCGTGCCGATGGGCGATGTTACCTTCGGAAGAGGACGCGACGCGCCACATTCCTCATACAATGCCCCTGCGGTGTGTGGGGGCGTTGTGGCCCCTCCGTCCTGGGACGTTCTTCAAAACAAGCGTTTCCTGGACGGTGGGGGGGTGCCGCGTCCATGATAGCGTGTCCAGAAAAAGCTGCCCCCGCGCTGCTTGAACCCCGAAAAAGCAACGAGTGGCTACAGTTGGGTGGTCCACGCTTACTTCCTCCGGTTGCCGCGGGCCTCCCAGGGGCCCCCGCCGGCCCCCGCTGTCAGTCCGCCGCAGTCTATTTGTGACTTCTGTCGGGCGACACGAACCTCCCCTGGGCCGTCGCCCGTAGGCTGCACGTACTTCCGCGGCCTCCTGCGGGCCGTCGGCCGCAGGCTGCACGTGCTTCCGCCGGCTGCCGCCGACCTCCCGCCAACGTCTGTTGGCAAGAGCGTCCGCCTCTCCGCCAGCTCTGGCGGGCCCTCAGCCGGCGGGCCCCGCCTACTCCCGCCGACTGCCGCCGACCTGCCGCTTGCTCCTGCCAGCGCAAGAGCCCCCCCTTCGAACGGCCCCCACGGACCGTCGGCCAACTTCTGGCGCCGGCCGCCGGGCTGCGCCAGAAGTCGGTCCAGGACGGACTTCTGGCGCGGGCCCGCGTCGGAAGTCGGTCCAGGACCGACTTCCGGCGCGCCCTTCTGTCTCCGCCCCAACACTCGTCGGCGCCGTCGCCGGCGTTGCCCCTGCCGCCCTCTAGCGTTTTCAAGCCTCGGCGGGGGCCGCGCCCCCCCTCGCGCGTCCTCCTTCCTCCTCACTGCCCCCTCCCCCAGTTTTCCTCCTCGCCCCCCTCCTCGCCCCATTCCCCCCTTCCCCCGCATCCCCATCCACCGCCTAATTGTATTCCTCCTGCTCCTGCTCCTGCTCCTGCTCCTCCTTCCCTCTCCTATCTGCCGCGCCTGCGGCGTTCGGGCACCGCGCAACATATGTTTGTTTCGTTTTCTGGCGCCCGCGCCATGCCTGCCAAGATGAAGGCGGCTGCCACGACACGCGCGTCGACGATGACGAACGTGGATGGCGCCAGCGTGCCGCGGCAGAAGGCACAGATAACGAAGGCGGCCAGGGGCACCCCCCCACCGCCCAGGAAACGCTCGTCTTGAAGAACGCCCCAGGACGGCGGGGCCACAACGCCCCCACACACCGCAAGGGCATTGGATGAGGAATGCGGCGCGTCGCGTCCTCTTCCGAAAGTAACATCGCCCATCGGCACGAAACCCTGGATTTGTTAGCGTGCCAGACGCTACGCAACGCAATTGCTACAGCAAGCGCCCCCCCCCCCGCCTTCATGTTTCCACCGCCCCCGCGGCGAAGCACTGCAAAATCGTGCGCCGAATTTGTCGTCGATTTTTCCCGGAAAGGGCAAAGGCCCAGGGTTCTCTTTTAGTATGTAAACATAGTCCCCCGTGCCCAACTTGAAGGAGGCCGGCGAAACTTTCCCTGATAAATATCGAGGTCGAAGGAGGCCGGCGAAATTATTTTGAGGATGTCTCGAGCGAAACGCTTGTTTTTGAAATCCCGATCGATAAATCACAGGGTGCGGGCCACCTCAGCACGACCACACCCCAGCACGACCACACCCCAGCACGACCACGCCCCAGCACGACCACGCCCCAGCACGACCACACCCCAGCACGACCACACCCCAGCACGACCACACCCCAGCACGACCACACCCCAGCACGACCACACCCCAGCACGACCCGCACGACCACACCCCAGCACGACCACAGCACGACCACCCCCAGCACGACCACACCCCAGCACGACCACACCCCAGCACGACCCGCCCCAGCACGACCACCCCCCAGCACGACCACACCCCAGCACGACCACACCCCAGCACGACCACACCCCAGCACGACCCCACCCCAGCACGACCCCACCCTAGCACGACCACACCCCAGCACGACCACACCCCAGCACGACCCCACCCCAGCACGACCCCACCCCAGCACGACCACACCCCAGCACGACCACACCCCAGCACGACCACACCCAGCACGACCACACCCCAGCACGACCACGCCCCAGCACGACCACGCACCCAGCACGACCACGCCCCAGCACGACCACGCCCCCAGACACGCCCCAGCACGACCACCCCCCAGACCACCCCCCCAGCACGACCACCCCCCAGCACGACCACCCCCCAGCACGACCACACCCCAGCACGACCACACCCCAGCACGACCACACCCCAGCACGACCACACTCGCACCCCCGTGGAATGTTTCATGGGGTGTCTGGTTGAGTGGTTGCCTGTTCGTGGGGTGTCTCGTGGAATGTTTCACGGGGTGTCTCGTGGAATGTTTCGTGAGGTGTCTCGTGGAATGTTTCGTGAGGTGTATCGTGGGATGTTTCGCGGGGTGTCTCGTGGGGTGTTTCGTGAGGTGTTGCCCCGTTGGGTATCGTGAAAACGTGCCCATGCTCCACGTGTCTATATCCCTTTCCGGGTTCGTGGGTCCATCATGTTTTTTGCTTCCCCAGGTTCAACGCCGTTCCTGTCCAGGCCGGGCGTGGCCGCCTTTCTGGACAGGTGCGAGAAGCGCGGCATCAAGCGGATCGTGGTGCCCGACGAGAAGCGGTTGGCCCGCCGCTTGATGGTGCAGGAAGAGGCGATCGCGGAGTGCGAAAAGCGAGGTTTGGAGTTGGTGCACGCCTCGATCCCAGGGCTGTTCACCAACAAGTACCCATACACAGTTTTCCAGAGACACATGGCCGGGGCCATTTCTCAGATGGAGTGCCAGGTGGCTGTGGGCAACATGAAACACGGGCGCGACCGAGCACGCAAAACAAACACGGAGGTCTCGCTGGCGAACGAGCGGAAGTGCGAGGGCAGGAAGAACTTCCTGCAGCTGCAACCGCGGTTTGTCCAGATATCCAGATCCCTGCGGCGCGCACCGCCAATGCCAAAGCAGCTGCCCCCCCCGGCCGTCCATAATCATTATAGTCACCACGGTTTTTCTTTGACGCAGTGCCAGGGCCACGCGCGCCTAGACGCACGCCTGTTGCAGTTGCTCTTGCTCATGGTCCTCCTCTTTTGACGGGCCACGAGTCTCCCCAAATCGTCCCCTTGTTGCATATGCAATTACCGCAGACATGTGTAATCGATCCCGCATCGTACCATATCTTCTCACTCCACATCCTGCGGCGCAAGTTTGAGCAAAGTTTCTCGTCATTCGGCCGCCCAGGGCGGCGACCGCAGAGCGGGGAGGGAAAATAACGAATTACCCAACACACAACGATGGACTGCACAGGCGCGTGCTGCAGTACTTTCGCGGAGCTGCTAGGCACAAACTTGAAAAACTACAACAACTTAAACAAGTGCCCTTTTGCACGCGGCCCTGCTTCTGCCGATAAGGAGGGTAGGGGGGGCACGATAGCTTGCTCGGCGCGGCGCCGAGTTGTCAAACCCTTCACATGCCACGGACTCGGCGCGGGCCAGCCTGCAAACGCAGCACGTTTCACATGTGACGGACTCGGCGCGAACCTGGGGATGCCTTCGTGGGCGGCGGCCCCAGCAGCGTGCAGTAACAACGGTAATTGGTGGGACAAAACATGTTGGCTCTTTCGGTTCGAGACGCAACCTCTAGTTCCAACTAGCCCAACAAAAGACACCCGCGCGCTTAAAGGCCGAGCTCGGGCTGCATGTGAAAGGGGCACGGAGAAGGCTCAAACGCCCTTGGCTCGTACCGCCTACTGCAGGGCAGAGTGGGAAGGAGGATCAAGCGCCATTTGCCCTGGCACCCCTGAGCGAAGGCCGCGTTGCGCGTAATCATACCTTCCAATGGCGGGCGCGCCAAGCTGCTAGTTTGACGCCGAAACTATTTGAAACCCGCGCGCGGCCATTTTCAAAACCACCATGAACCATTTTCAACTTCAGCACCGCACGGCCCGCAAGCGGCCTAGAACCATGAGAAAACCATTATCATCATTCTTAATATGATCCCCGACATGCCCGTGACCCTATCCACCCCCGGGGTGCCGCCCGAGGCGGCGCCGGGGTGCTGAGACCGCGCCCTGACCCCGACCTGCCAGCGGGGGCTACAGTAAAACGACGCGAAGATCGGGACAAAATCGGATCGGGAGAACTCGAAATCTCTGAGAATCGGCGGGTTTGCAGGATGTATCGGGCGCCGCGGCCGCTCCAGAGCGTTCCGGAACGCTCTGAGAGCGCTCCGGAACGCTCTGGATCGATTTATCCCGATCCTAGCCCTGTTTTATACAGTCCCAGACCCCCGACGCCGTGATTGTTGTTACAACGTCGACCCCCAGAGGTCTGGACCCCTTCCCCGGGGACTCGTTTTTTCGCCCTGAGGCGTCTTTTGACGGTCCCGAGGCCCGGTAAGGACCACCACAGGCCGAAAGTAGCTAAAAACCTTCCGTCGTGTTTTTTACTTCACAACGCGAGGGGGTCTGGGGTCGGGGAGCCTCCGGAGGCTGGCGGGGACGGACTACCAGAGGCTGCCCGGCCCGCCGGGCAGCCTCTGGGGAAACCAGCCGAAAGTACCGATACCACTGCGCGCGCTCCGGCCAGGGTCTCGAGGCGAAGCTGGCGAATCTGGCGCTGGCGACGAGGGGCCGCCCAGGAGGCCGAATTATCCGGGCGAAGGGCCCAACCACACGCAGCTGTGAGTACCGCCGTTGGGAGAGCTGCCCACGGTGGAGCCCCCCGCCTCTGCAAAACGAGGACCCAACACCACAGGACGGTTGGGAAAACGGGGGAAACGAGGGAGAGGCAACGGTATGGGTACATTTTCCTCCTCGGAGCCTCTAGGCCACCCAAGGCGGGCGGAACCACCAGAAAGCAGCCCATGGGCGGAGAGGCGAGCAACGGCGGTGCGCCCGCGGCCGCGACCCCGCCCACCCGCGCGCGCCTCCCCGTCGCCCTCCAGCGGCGGGACGGTCACGGCCTGGTCTGCACTGTACAGTCAACCCGAATAAGAAGGACGCGCGATGAGGACGCAAAGGCCTTGGAAGGCCATGTCGCCACTTTTGAAGGCGGGGCGCGGCCAGCCAGACTGGCCGGGGATGGGCCGAAGGGGAAGGATGCAGGGGTAACCTTGGAAAGTCGTTCATCCTTGCTATGCGCGTTGGCTCTAGGGGGGCGGCGGCGGGGGCGGCGAACTGTGACGACCTGGACGGCAATGATGACAAGGGCTGTCTTGGTCACGCTTCTGGATTGGGTCGATTGTCATGATCAAATATACTATGCTAGCCAGCGTGGACCCCAAAGAGTTCGTTTTGGGAAGGATGTGTGGTGGAACCTATGTGGTGCAATTCGCCAATGCTCAACTTGAAGATGTCCATTCCACTGCTCGCGCAAACATCCCACCCACCCACCCGCAACTTGGTTTGCAAACCCCATGCGGAAGCGATTGCGCTGAGTGCTGGGTGTTGGCTGGTGCATCTCTGCGGCCGCGCTAGCCCGCGCATGCTCGCGCGCGCAGCGGCCAGCGAGTTTGGCGCGACCGACGCGAACGCAGTGGCGCTGACCGCTCGGCACATCGCAGTGGGCACTTCAGTGCGAGTCGGCGACTTGGGCGGGCGCGGTATCATGGCAACGTCGACAACGGTAGACACGATGATGATAGTAACGATGCTGGTGGCGATGCTGACAGCGACGACTGGGCAGCCAGTGACGGCGCCGATGCTGATCACGGATCGTGCGACCCTTCAGGACGCGCGCAAGGGCGTTCGAAAGATTTCGACATGCGCGCGCGAAGCCCGCATTTTATGAACATGTTGAAAAACCGATGGTCTTCTTAAGATTTCGCAAGAGCGCGAACACACGCTTGTGTTGAAACTCCGTGTTGCGATACCCTGTGTTCTTTTATAACTGTTCTTCGGACGCTCGATTTTGACATCCTTCCGAAACCGAGAAGTTTGAAGGATTGCGGCATGCGCGCGCGACGACGCCCGCGTGCGCACTTCGTCCCATTCCTTGCAAGGGACTATTGGAAACTTATGATTTGTGATGAACGAGTGTGCGCGCATAGTATGTTTTGAAAAGGTACTGAGGGGGGCCGATACCAGCCTAGCTGGGATAGTATGAGTTCACAGGTAGGATGGACATTGGGTCAGGACCATATGTATTTTGCATCGGTTCCCGGTGAGTGGATAAGTCCGGGGGGGAGATTGGTAGAACCGATCTTTATCTTTATAACGGAAAATATATGTGGTACCATCTATGTAGAACGTACGCAGTGCAAGTCATGTGGAGCAATGTGTGTGGTGCAATCTATGTGGTGCAATCCATGTGTTGCAATCGATGTGGTGCGGTGTCTTATCCCCCACCGTGCACACGGAATGGGCGTGTCTTCAGGTCCTTTGCCCAAACCCCTAAGCCGCAGTCCTCAGTAATGAGGAGGTTGTTAAGGTGCCTGAACCCAATGTTCAAATCTACTGGGGCGTTCTGCGTGCTTGCTGGGCTTCGGGAAGTGGTGGCGCGTGTTTGTGTTTCGGCCCAGTAGGGCCCCAACACAGGCCAAGAGGGCCCCGAGAGTCACGCGGAGAGACGCGACGGGGCCCAACAGGCCCCCAAGATCGGCCCAAGACGCCTAAGATGAACTCAAGACGCCCCACGAGGCCCCCAAGTCGCCCCAAGTGGCCTCCGAGAGGCCTCCGAGGGCATCATTGACTCTCCGTAGGTGTTTGAAAGTTGTTTGCTTTCTGGCCTTTTCGGCTTCCCGACGCTCCAAGACGGCCCAAGAGGCCCCAAAGATCGCCCCAAGACGGCCCAAGAGGCCTCCAAGAGGGCCCCCAAACCGCTCAAGAGGGCCCCAAGATCCCAAGAGGCGCTCAAGATGGCCAGAAGACAGCCTTTAAGAGGGGCCCAAGAGAGGGAACCCGAACCGAAAATCCAAGCCTTCCGCCCAAAGAGGGGGCCCAGGAGGCCCCCAGAGCACCCAAGAGGCCCCCAAGAGGCCCCAAGAGGCTCCCAGGAGGCCCCCCAAAAGCCGGAAGAGGTTCCAACCCGGCCCCCAAGAGGCTTCAAAACTGCCTCCAAGATGCGCCCCCGAGAGGCCTCCCACGAGATCCCAACAACCGTCCAATAGGCTTCATACCCACAACCCAGGCACGGTGGCGGAATGTACCGAAGGCCATTAGATAGGTGGTGCAACCGATGTGGTGCAATATGTGTGGAGCAACCGCTGTGGTGCAACCCATGCGGTACAATCCATGTGGTGCAATCTATGCGGAGCAATGCATGTGGAGCAATCCATGTGGTGCAGTCTATGCGGTGCAATCTCAGCCACCGTGCCCTCGAGGCACGCGTTGGAGTGTCCTCAGGTCCCTTGTTGGATCCCCCAGGGCCTCAGCTCTCAATCCGGAGGTTTCTTTAAAAGGGCCGGACGCCAAGAGTGCCAAATCTCCAGTGGCGCGACGCGTGGCCCCAGGGGTTCCCAGCGTTTTGTCGCATGACTCAAGGCCCCGAGACGGGCCAAGAGGGTCCTGAGAGGCCCCCAAGACGGTGCGAGAGGACCCCGAATCGCCAAACTGGTCCGGGACGCCCAAGATGGCCTGCAGTCGGCCGAAGAACGCCCAAGACGTCTCAAGAGGCCTCCGAGAGGCTTCCCAAAAAGGCCCCGAGAGGTTCAAATCAGGTATTTGCTTTAGGTGTTTCATAATGTGTTTGACTTTCTCACCTTTTCGCCTTCCCGACGCTCCAAGCCGCCATCAGAAGCCCCCAGGATCGCACCAAGAAGGTCCAAGAGGTCTCCAAGAGGGTCCCTAAACGCAAGACGGCCCAAGAGGCCTCCAACACGGCTCAGGAGGTCCCCAAGACGGTTCCAAGAGGGGGCCCAATCAAAAAAGGAGCCGAAAAAAGGCCCTCAGGAAGCCCCAAGAAGCCCCGAAGAGGCCCCAGGAGGCCCCCAAGAGACCCCCAGGAGGCCCCAGGAAGCCCCAAAGAGCCTCCCCAGAGGCTCCCAAGAGGCCCCCAGGAGGCCGCCAAAAAGCTCCAAAACTGTTCGCAAGATGCCCCAAAACTGTCCCCAAGAGGCCCCCGAGAACGTGCCGCCGTTCCTGTTGCCCTTCGGGGCGGGCCTCCTTGTCGCCCTTCCAGTCGTCGCTCGCGAAGGGCGGCTCGGAGAAGTCCATCCTGGGCGATCTCATCGCGGCCCCCAGCCCAGTGCCCAGCTCGCCCGCGGCTGCGCCGAGCAGCCTCGCGGGGAAGGGGGGAGGGGGGAGGGGGCCAGCGCTCAGGCGGGCGGGGGGGGAGGGAAGACCCCAAGATCTGGGCGTTGCAACTTTTTCGCGCCAAGCGTCCGGTTTCGGGCCGCGGGGCCATGACGGATCGATCGGGTTGGAGACATGCGGCAGGAAGATGGAGTCTAAGGCTCTGGTCGTGATTGTTCGCGAAGTTGCAATATTTCCGCAGCGTCAGATCTCCGGTAAGCAGCATAATCAGGAACACGATGAGGGATGGGAAGATGATGAGGATGGCGAGGGAACTGTGCGAGCAGGCTGTGGCGCACGATCGGCGTCGATGGCGCGCTGCCTTCAAGGTGAAAGGACACTGGCTGCCCGTGGCAGCCCAACTCGTCACGTGCCATGCTGTGAGTAGAGCTCGGCAGTGCGAGCGCGGACACGGAAGCAAGATGGAAGCGCCACCACCAGAGAGAGGAGCAACCACCGATCACCCCACCGCAGTGCGGGCGAAGACAAGACTGGTGGTCCAGCTGGCCCTGCAACGCGCGGTCCATCACACCCCGCATCGTGGGACAGAGCCCGCCTGATGGTCCTCCGCCTCCGCCTCCTCCTCCTCCTCCTTCCCCTCTTCCTCCTCCTCCTCCTCCTCCACCTCCTCCACCCCCTCCTCCCCCCCTTCCTCCTCCTCCTCCTCCTCCTCCTCCTCCTCTCCTCCTCCTCCCCTCCTCCTCCTCCTCCTCCTCCTCCTCCTCCTCCTGCCAGCAGAGCGGGCAGACCTCGCATCGCTGGGCCAGAGCTGGCCTGGTGGGCTGGCGCACGGGCCAAGAGGGGAGGGGGCCCGGCCAAGATCCTATTGCGGACACCCAGGCTCCGTGTGACGGCCGAGCCACGTGCCTCGCCGGGGCCCCCTCAGTTCAAGAAGGGATTGAGCGCGTGATTCGGCGTGCTCGGGCGCGCGTGCACGGCGGCCGCTGCACCCCCTCGCCGGAGGCCTCGCCGCTCCCCGGGTGAAGCAGGGCGGAGAGGGCCGAACGGATTTCCGCCTGCGTCGCCGCGCGGCAGAGGGGGCACGCACGCGCACTCGGGCAAGGAGAGGGACGCGGCCGCGGGGCGGGAGGGGAGGAGGGAGAGCGCTCCCGCGGCGGGGGCCGCTGCGGAGCGGCTGGGGCGTCAAGAGAAGGCCGAGCAGAGAGAGAGAGAGGGAGAGACAAATTATCCCATTGCGACCCTACCTAGGAGTTGTAGCCCCTAGGAAAGCAGCATTAGTAGTAACAGTAAAGCCAAGCTAAAGCTAAGCTAAAGCTAAGTTACAGCTAAACTAAAGCTAAGCTAAAGCTAAGCTAACGCTAAGCTAAAACTAAGCTACATCTAGGCTAACGCTAAGCTAACGTCAAGCTACCGCTAAGCTAACTATACGATACAGCTAAGCTAAAGCTAAGCTACAAACTAAGCTAAAGCTAAGCTACAGCTAAGCTAAAGTTCAGCTAAAGCTAAGCTAAACTTAAGCCACACCTAAGCTACAATTAAGCTAAAGCTAAGCTAACGCTAAGCTAAGGCTAAATCTAAAGCTATGCTAAAGCTAAGGTTCATCCAAGGTAAAGCTAGGCTAAAGTTAAGCTACAGCTAAGCTAAAGCTGAGCTACATCTAAGCTAAATCTAAGCTAATGCTAAGCTAAAGCTAAGCTAAAGCTAAGCTAAAGCTAACCTACAGCTAAGTTAAAGCTAAGCTAAAGCTAAGCTAAATCTAAACTAAAGCTAAGCTAAAGCTAAGCTAAGTTAAGCTAAAGCTCAGCTAACGTTGAAGCTAAAGCTAAAACTAAAACTAAAGCTAAATCTCCCAGGGGACTGGGGGAACCGCGGGGCGGGGACTGGGGGAACCGCCCGGGGCGGGCAACACTGCCCGGCCCCTTTAAGATAGAGAGTAAGAAACCTTCTAGGCAGAGCCTAGGTAGGGAATCCACCTGAGCTAAGATGAAGCTAAGCTAAGCTAAGATGAAATAAGCTAAGATAAGATGAGATAAGCAACGCTAAGCTAAGGAGACGTAACTGGGGGAACCGCGGGGCGGATGCCGGGGGAACCGCCCGGGGCGGGCAACACTGCCCGGCCCCTTTAAGATAGAGGGTAAGAACCCTCTAGGCAGAGCCTAGGTAGGGAACAAAGAGAGAGAGAGAGAGAGAACAGAACACGGCACTGCCGCACGGCTCTCGTGGCCACAAGGGAGGAGGAGGAGGACGACGACGACGAGGAGCACGATGAGGAATAGGAGGAGGCGGAGGCACGTGCGCGCGAAGGCGTGCACTCTCGACGTCGGGGCCTGCTCGCAGAGACGCACTGCGGGGAGCACGAGGGCACCAGGGCTCCTTCGGCCTGACCCCCAAGACGCCGACTACAAATTTAGATCGGGCATTTCCTCCTGCAGGCGGATGTTGGAAGAAACATGAAGGATAGCCAAACAATCCTCGCATAGTCGAAGAATCGACCCCAGACTATTTCTGCTACTATTCTCGAAGATTCCTCCTGTAGGGGGACGTGCCCGACTTAACAACAAACTCCAAACATCCACCACTCGCCATCGCTCGGGCGTCGTCCATTCCACGAGGGCTCGGGGCGCCTTCGGCATGATACCCCCCAGAGCGCCGAGCCCACCAAATTCCAGCCGTCCACCACTGCGAGACCGACCGGGGCAGCGTGCACGGGAGGGGCCCTCGCGGGGTCATCGCCTCACGGGGAGCGCGTGCTGTTCGGAGATCGCTGTGGCACGCGATCTCTCCGACGCCCAGCGAGTGTTGCTGCTTGCCTCGCTCGTCCTCCCCCCTCTCCTCCCATGCGCCATCACAACTCCGCGCGCCTGACCCCCAGCGCGGGGCTCCTTCGGCAGGCCCCCAGAACGCCAACCACAAAATCTAGGTCGGGCGTGTCCTCCTACAGGCGGACTCTGGAAGACAGAGGAAGCACGGCAAACAGCAACCACAATGTTCAACCACTGTCAGAACGAGCCCCAAAATCGCCTTCAGCCTGCTTTCAAAATCTGTTTCTGAATATCCCCCTCTGTAGAGGGACATGCCCGACTTGAACCTCCCCCCCTTATCAGGGGGACGTAAGACCTGGGTACAGGGGACTCGGAAATCCCCGACGAGGTCGTCAAAAAAATGACGGGGCCGAGCCTGCATTTTGACGAGGCCTCCCGCTGCAGACATCCCACGAAACTCCTCCTCGTCAAAATCCGAGGCGCGGTCGTCAGAAAACGATGGCGAACCCGAGTCCTGGCAAACCCAGGTCTTACGCTCCCCCGACCTTATCGACGGCCCGACGGCGCCACGCGCGGTGGTCGGCCGGCCGCGCGCCGCCCGACGGCGCCGCGCGGCGGGCGGCGGGCCGGCCAAGCGCCTCGGCGAGCTCGCCGCGCGCCACAGGGGCCCCGCCTGCCAGCCGGGCCCGTCCGATCTCGGCGAGTCCGTGTCCTGGGCGCGCTGGGGCGCGCGGGGGCGCGAGCGCAAGCGGCCGACCTGGAGCTGATCCAGGTCCCTGCAGCCCCAGTGTCAAGAGTGCGGATCACAGCGAGGGCGTGGGGTGAGGGAGCCACTGGAAAAGGGAGCCAGGGTCTGGGAGCCGGTGGAAATTCCCTCGTGGACTGGCCATGGAACTCGCTGCCGCCCTCATCCGTTGAGGACGCGCGGTGCAGTAGGGGTCCGACCACAAGAAACCTTCCACGAGAAACCCGACCCTGAGACCCCAGGACGTCCATTGGATTTTGGTTTGGGAACGTCGCGCTCTCCATCGCAAAACTATCGAAACCCAAGAAACCCAGGGCACCCTGGATGCAAGCAGGGTGTTTTTTGGCATGGGCCTCCACCGTAAGGACGCAAGAACGTTTGACGCCCAAGCTGCATTTTAGCGGCGCACGGCAGAGAAAAGCCCAGGGTTCGGTCGGGCATGTCCCCCTACAGGCAGATCTGGGAGGAAAAATATCAGATACTCAAACCATACCCCAGAATGGTCAAACATCGTCAAACAGTCGTCCTCCGACTATTTTCTTTGTTTTCAGGCCCGACTTCAGCCCAGGGACGCAAGGCATGCGGACGTCCCTCAAGGGGCCCAAGGACACACAACTAAATACACACAAATAACCGGATTCCCCGTATTTTCATATATTTTCTGGGTTTTTCTCTTCCCACCCATTTCCCATATTTTCCCATATTTTCTGGGGAATCGACGATGAATTGTGTCTGTGTGTTTTTTTCCCTCCTGATTCAGCCCAGGGGCGCAAGGCGTGCGGACGTCCCGAGGGGGGCCCTCCCCCGTCGGAGCCGAGGCGAGGCGAGGCGAGCGCGCGAGTTCGGTCCGGCGGGACTGGCCCTCATGGGGCGGCGCGGGGGGGCCGGAGCCCTCAGGAGACGTGCTGGCGGCAGGAGCCGGAGCCGGAGCCGGAGTCGGAGAGTCGGGGATGGACAGACCCCCCTTCAGTAAAACGTGGTTTCGTGAAAACGACCTGAGGCCCAAACCTGGCGGGCGCAAGCCTGGAAAAGAACGGCCACGGCGCCCTCTCGAGAACCGAAAACGGACAATTCACTAATCGACTTGTCACTGTTGGGGGTTCTGTCCACCCCCGAGAGATGGATGGGAACTGGAGTCGGGAAGGTGGTGTAAACAGGAGTCGGAGAAGCGACCAGAGTGTGCAGAACACGCAGTCCGGTAGGGGGACAGGCCCGACTTCCGCCCAGGGGCGCAAGGCGTGCGGACGCCCCGATCGGGGGGCCCTCCTCCGCCGGAGCCTCGCGCCGCGCAGGCGGGGGGCAGCCGCCGCCCAGCCCCGAGGGGGTGCCCCTGGGGGGGCTGGCCAGCGAGAGCGGCGGAGGACGGCCCGCACAGGCAAGGATTGAGTCGGGCGTGTCCCCCTACAGGAGGTTGGACGAAAAATAACAAATAATCCCAAAAATGTTCCAAAAGTGCAACAAAATGGTCCAAAAGTAGTCCCCAGACTATTTTTTGACTATGATTGAATTTTGCCCCTGTAGAGGGACATGCCCGACTAAAGGCAAGGACGCAAAGGGCAGCCTGTTCGTGTCGTGCCGACTGCGGCATTGGGTTCTGACACCGCGGAGGTCAATCAACCTTGAACGATCGGCCGTTTCCGAAACGTCCAAATCGTTCCACATCGAACGAATCTGGGTCGCCCGCGGCGTTCAACGTTGAACGCCGCCAGCGGGGTCGCCGCCAGTCGACACGCCACAAACCTACCGTAGAACCATGAAGTAGGAAGGCGTTTGAAGTAGATTGGGTTTCCGCCCGCCTCCTGAAGAGGAGGAAGGTGGAAAACCACTCGACTCTTGAAGTAGAAAGGCGGCTAAAGCAGATTGGGAACTAGGAATCCAAAAACACCTACTTTCAACGACCGATGGGTACTCGTCCTTACTATCGCGCTTGACTGCAAGATCGACAGGCCCAAGGCGACTGACATTCTGAAGGTCGTGCCCTCAAGATCGGCTGATGTGTTTCTGCGAACGTCTTAATGCAGCGTATCCAACGTATACGATGATTGCACGACTTCTACATGCTGTACTATGTTGCATTATAATGTAGCCCCCCTTGCCCCCTCCCCGAGGCCACGCCACTTCCGCAGACCAGGGTGCCCACCCCTTTCGAGGCCCAAGAACTTGCAAAACCATTGGACATGTATGATTTGGGCTCCTTGGGCCTCTGGGTGGTCTCAGAGGGCGTCAAGACAGCTCAAGATGGAATCAGCACGGGCCAAGACGGCCCTAAGACAATCTAAGGCGACCCCATGAGGGCCCCGCAAAAATCCCAAGACGGCCCAAGAGAGCCCCAAGAGGACCC